CCAACTTGGTGTATGGATAGCTTATATCAAGAGGCAGCTTGGGATTGCTAGCCAGGTGTCTGTGATCAAGGTCAATGTCACTGTTACTAAAAATAGAAATTCAGTTTCCGCTCAATAACTTGAGTTTGCTTTGGCCTATTCACACCAAACTTGGTGTATGGATAGCTTATATCAAGAGGCAGCTTGGGATTGGTACCCAGGTGTCTGTGATCAAGGTCAAGGTCACTGTTACTAAAATAGAAAATCAGTTTCCGCTCAATAACTTGGGTTTGCTTTGGCCTATTCACACCAAACTTGGTGTATGAATAGCTTATATCAAGAGGCAGCTTGGGATTGGTACCCAGGTGTCTGTGATCTAGGTCAATGTCACTGTTACTAAAAATAGAAATTCAGTTTCCGCTCAATAACTTGAGATTGCTTTGCCCTATTGACACCAAACTTGATGAATAGGTAGCTTATATCAAGAGGCAACTTGGGATTGCTACCCAGGTGTCTGTGATCAAGGTTAATGCATTTAGTTTTCATGTTTTAACTTGAGTTTGCTTTGACCTTTTGACACTGAACTTGCTGAGTGGCAGCTTTGGATTGCCACTTAGATATCTGGGTACAAGGTCAAGGTAATTTGCTTACAATAGAATTTTCAGTATCTACTCAATAACTTCAGTGCACTTTGACCTATTGATTGTTGTCACATGGTCGTTGAAAACTTAGTTTTCGTCGCATTGTGGCGCTTCTTGTAGGTAATTTGAAAAATGGTTCTTTATTAGGTATGTGATAGATAGAATATTATATTTGTGAAGGGCATTACAAGATTAATATTGGACTTGTTAAATGAAATAATATATTGCTAGCCATGGCCACACATTAAATGATGATATTCAACTTGTTCAATAAATTCAAGATTGATCTTCAATATCCGGTATATCATGTATTTGTAATACTGTTTTGATACATTGCAGAGGTATTGGGATGTTAATGGGTGTTGAGATAGTGATAGATAAAGAGAGCAGAAAACCTAACAAAGATGCTGCAGAACTTCTTGTTTACAAGTATGTATACTTATATTGACCTACCAGTTTAGAAGAGGATTATTTGAAATATCTGTGATATGAGGTATCAAAAAATATGGAGACAGAATCTCATGAGCTGTCAAAACAAGAAAAGGTTCACTGTGATGAATTTATTCATTTGGTTTCTTTGTTTATCAAATAAACTACAGTGCAGGAGTGAAATTAGGCCATGTAATAAAAACGATATTACAATAGTGACGTCATTTGTATTTATATAAAAACATATCGTTAAAGCATGTTAATGTTAGTGTTACACAGTAGGCAGCTATTCATGTCAATGAAATAATGGCTCTTTGTTACTATTAACTGTTGTAATTTTGTTTATGTGATAGACAGAATATTGCATTTGTGTATATTCACTACTAAACTTATTGAACTCTATGAATAAAACAATATAATGTTCACCAGAGGCTCGCATAATATGATTTTGTTCAACTTGTTCAAAAAATTTAGTATCAAACCTCCACTCAATATCTTCTATTTAATTGCCTGGACCACATTATATTTGTTCTTGTCAAGAATAGCCACATAACTATGCTTATGTGTAGATATCTTTCTTATGAAATATAAAAATGGAAAACGATATTAATCTGTTACCTTGGAAAGAAGTTTGGAAAATGGAAAAAAATCTTTGAATTTTATTACTTGTCATTCACCTGTGTTAAAGCAAAAGAGTTCACAACAAGTTCACAGAAGATTTATTGTTTAACTCAGCCACCCACTTGTCCCTGCTGATAATGCATGTAGGGACATCCTTGTAAGTCCTTACCAGTAAAGCTAAAGGATTACAACAGTGAAAATTCAAAATCAACCTGAATAATGGTTTATACTTTTGTAAATAATATTTGCCAAAGATAAGCTCACTATATAGTAAATGTTACAAAGTATGTAAAATTGACCCGGAATGTGGTTCAATTATGCTCTAACCTAGTTATACCCCTAGATAAAGATATGAATATCATGGATTTATCAAAATTGACTATCGCAAATGCAACTGTTTTTATGCTTACAGACTGAAGGAGAGGAAGGTAATCACATCAAATGAGGGGCCAGATAAAAATGTAATCATTTTCCAGCCTCCGATGTGTTTTACATGTGACAATGCACGCACTGCAGTACAAGCATTGGATCAGGCTTTAACAGAAGTTGAAAATGAGGCTACACAAGTCTCCCAGGAGTCTAATGATACCATACAGGTACAAGATTCATTTGTTCCGGTCTTTTCCTGCATGATATATTCCTTCATTTTAGTGGTCTGTTGCTACATTTAACAACTTTATTCCTGCATTTGACTGGTCTCTTGATGCTTTTAACTAGTATTTTTTTCGGCAATTACCCATCTGCTTTCTGCAATTATCCTGTCAGTTTATGCAATTAACCAGTCTGTTGATGCATTTAACCAGTCTGCCCTGCATTTAACCAGACTGTTCCTGCATAAAACCATAATGTTTCTGCATTTAACCAGTTTGTTTCTGCATTTTACCATTATGTTCATGTATTTTACTAGTATGTTGAAGTATTTTACCAGTATGTTCCTGCATTTAACCAGTCTGTTGATGCATTTAACCTGTCTGTTCCTGCATTTAACTAGTCTGTTTCTGCATATATCCTGTCAGTTAATGCAATTAACCAGTCTGTTGATGCATTTAACCAGTCTGTTACTGCATTTAACCAGTCTGCCCTGCATTTAACCAGTCTGTTTCTGCATTAAACCAGTCTGTTGATGCATTTAACATCATACATGTCTGTTCCTGCATTTTATTAGTCTGTTTCTGCATTTATCCTGTCAGTTAATGCAATTAACCAGTCTGTGTCCGCATTTAACCAGTCTGTGTCTGCATTTAACCAGTCTGTTACTGCATTTAACCAGTCTGTTCCTGCATTAAGTAGTCTGTTCCTGTATTTATGTCTCCCCCACCTCGGGGGGAGACATATTGTTTTTGCCCTGTCCGTCCGTCCGTCAGTCCGTCCGTCCGTCCATTCTTCGTTTCCGGACGATAACTAGAGTTCCTTTTGACCTACAGCTCTCAAACTTCATAGGATGAATGGTCTTATTGAGCAGATGATCCCTATTGTTTTTGGGGTCAGTAGTTCAAAGGTCAAGGTCACAGTGACCGTTGGTCAATTTCTCGTTTCCGGATGATAACTAGAGTTCCTTTTGACCTACAGCCCTCAACTTCATAGGATGATTGGTCTTATAGAGCTGATGATCCCTATTGTTTTTGGGTCAGTAGGTCAAAGGTCAAGGTCACACTGACCGTTGGTCAATGTCTCGTTTCCGGATGATAACTAGAGTTCCTTTAGACCTACAGACCTCAAACTTCATAGGATGATTGGTCTTATTGAGCAGATGATCCTATTGTTTTTTGGGGTCAGTAGTTCAAAGGTCAAGGTCACAGTGACCGTTGGTCAATTTCTCGTTTCCGGATGATAACTAGAGTTCCTTTTGACCTACAGCCCTCAAACTTCATAGGATGATTGGTCTTATAGAGGCAGATGATCCCTATTGTTTTTGGGGTCAGTAGGTCAAAGGTCAAGGTCACAGTGACCGTTGGTCAATTTCTCATTTCCGGATGATAACTAGAGTTCCTTTTGACCTACAACCCTCAAACTTCATAGGATGATTGGTCTTATTAATCAAATGATCCCTATTGTTTTAATGGTCAGTAGGTCAAAGGTCAAGGTCACAGCGACCGTTGGTTAATTTCTCCTTTCCGGATGATAACTAGAGTTCCTTAAGACCTACAACCCTCAAACTTCATAGGATGATTGGTCTTATTGAGCAGATGATCCCTCTTGTTTATGGGGTCAGTAGGTCAAAGGTTAAGGTCACAGTGACCATTGGTCATTTTCTCATTTCCGGATGATAACTAGAGTTCTTATCAGTGAGGACATTTAACTATTATTGATATATCAGTGATATATCAGTTGTCTGGTTTTATATACTCTGTTCTTTTATCTCCATTTCCATTCCTGTTTCCATTCACAGTTATTCTCAGCAGTGGGGGAGACATGCGCTTTTTTACAAAAGCATCCTCTAGTTGGCCAGTCTGTTTCTGCATTAATCCGGTCAGTTGATGCATTTAACCAGTCTGTTGATGCATTTAACCAGTCTGTTGATGCATTTAAGTAGTCTGTTACTGCATTTGGCCAGTCTGTTGATGCATTTATCTGGTCGGTTGATGCATTTAACCAGTCTGTTGATGCATTTAACCAGTCTGTTGATGCATTTAAGTAGTCTGTTACTGCATTTGGCCAGTCTGTTGATGCATTTATCTGGTCGGTTGATGCATTTAACCAGTCTGTTGATGCATTTAACCAGTCTGTTGATGCATTTAAGTAGTCTGTTACTGCATTTGGCCAGTCTGTTGATGCATTTATCTGGTCGGTTGATGCATTTAACCAGTCTGTTGATGCATTTAACCAGTCTGTTGATGCATTTAAGTAGTCGCTTACTCGTTTAACCAGTCTGTTGATGCATTTATCTGGTCAGTTGATGCATTTAACCAGTCTGTTGATGCATTTTACCAGTCTGTTGATGCATTTAAGTAGTCTGTTTCTGCATTTAATCAATCTGTTGATGCATTTTACCAATCAATCTCCACACAATGATCTCCCCTTAATTCTTCGGCGTAGATCTCTGCCACCAAGGTTTGATATATCAGAATTTCTGATATACTATATTTTTTTCAAAAGTTGTTTTATCTACTGCTTTTATCTATTAGATAAGTTCTTTTTCATTTATTTAACAATGTTTATGAATAAATAAATAAATGATATGAATGTTTAGAAATAATTTTAAAAATTATGAGAATATTTTCTACGAGACAATATTTTGATATTTTATATTTTTTAGCTTTCGAATTTATTTTACGTTATATTGTATACCTTTGATAATTTTTAGCCCGACTATTTGATAAGAATAAGTAAAGCTATCGTAGTCACCCGAGCGTCGGCGTCAGTGTCGGCGTCCGCATCGGCGTAACCACTTATGTTAAAGTTTTTGTAATAGTTCAAATATTTTCAAAGTCCATTGACATATGGCTTTGAAACTTTGCACACTTGTTCACCATCATAACCCCAACCTGTATACAGGAGGAGGTAACTGTATCAAGCATTTTGACAGAATTATGCCCCTTTTTCGACTTAGAATTTATGTTAAAGTTTTTGTTATAGTTCAAATATTTTCAAAGTCCATCGACATATGGCTTTGAAACTTTGCACACTTGTTCACCATCATTACCCCAACCTGTAAACAGGAGGAGGCAATTGTATCAAGCATTTTTTTTTTACTATAAAGCACTAAGAATAGTCGAGCGTTGCTGTCCTACCGACAGCTCTTGTTTGATAAACTATATCTAACGTAGGCACTAAAAGTTAAAAATAAAACAGAAAGAGAAAAATGACGTTAGATTTTCTATGTAACGGTCGATATTTACATTTGAATTTCGTAGTTACGTCATGTGACTTTCATCATCATGTGACGTCTTTGAAGGCAGTGATTATAATTATGCCAAGGGACATTATCACTGTGAGGAGTTTGTTTACTAGTATGTTCCTACAATTTACCAATCTGTTGATGCATTTAACCAGTCTGTCATGCATTTAACCAGCCTGCATTTTACCATTCTCTTTCTGTATTAGAAAAGCTGTTCCTGCATTTAATGGCTCTATTCCTGTTTTAACTTGGATGAACTAGCACCAGGGTAAAGTGTAGTTTGAATGATGTTCTTACAAGATATCACATTTCGTCAAAATCAGTTTATTTTTTTTATCATTTGGTCATGAAAGCCCTCTATTGAAATTAGAAATGCATTAAATGAACCTAATTAAGTTTAATTAAGATCAGTCTAATAATTTAAACTTGTAACTATATATGTATTTGTAACTATATATGTATTTGTGTTTTTGCAGGTGCCGTTGAGTATTCTTACAGGAATAAAGCATAAACTAGACAGTGATGATGACGACGATGATGATGATGATGATGAATCTCCAAACAAACGCAAGAAAGTCAGTTATGAAGAAATGGACTAATTTGTTTTATATTCCATACTTGTATTCCGTACTAGTATAAATCTGTAAATTATGAATGTTCTTACTGGTAATCATCTTTGGATACCCACTGCCTTACATTTATCAGCTGTGGGATTTTTTAACAATTTCCAGTCAATAAGGGGTGTGTCAAAGACATCTGTTTCACTTGTTGCCTCACAATTTGATGAGGAGATTGAAATTTGTATTACAGACAAAATTTCCGCAACCAATAAAATTCAGCTGTGAAAAGTTCGTTCAGTATTAAAAATGCCAATGATTTCCAGCAAAAATGCATAGCAAATTTACTGTTACTGATAGTTTTTACTTTCGCCATTGCTGAATATAAATTATATTAAATGCGATTTCATTGGTTATTATTTCAAGCACCTGTTGCTGTATACATGGTATATTGACGCAAATTGATTCATTTTACCCACAGCTTGATTACATGTTAATCAATCGTGAGTATCCAACAATGAATTATACTATTTTACAGTGTTTCTTTCACAAATCATCATTTTATGTGCAATCCTCTTTTGATATCAGATAATGTTTATAATATTTATTTAAAAGAAGGCATCATTTTGACTTCCCCCAAACTAAATGTTCATCTTTAAAGGGATAAACAGGCAAATTATTGACAAAAATATTAAAATGAGTTTATGTACTCAAATCAATCTGAAATGATATTTTTTGATGTCCCAGCATGAATTTCTGCATGAATTCTATATATTTTGGGTTTGAAGCGTAAATATATCTATATGTTTTGAACGAAATTTAAACACCGATAGAATCACCGAGCAGTTTTAAAACAAGTTATGTGACTTGAACAACCTTTGGGAGTTACAATAACAGACATTGTGGATATTGTATGATCAAAACAAGTGAAAGCCATTCATTTGACATTGAATGTTTCCAGAACTCACTGTGACAACTATTGTGAAATGAAACGCTCTAACCTGACCCACGCTGGTCAAGTTAGGAAACCACCACTTTAATCGTTATAAGGAGAAAAAAATTTTTGTTCCAGTGACTGTCTAGTGTATTCATTTTGAGGACATTAACATCATAATAAATGAAAAATCAAAAACAAACAAATTAAAATTTTGCCTGTATCTCCCTTTAACTGGTATTTTATTTACTTTTGAAGTCTACAGTTTTATATTTTAATAAATATTGTATGTGAAAGTAAATTTAAAAAGATAACAAGTCATGTTTTACTTGTTAATTATGTTTAAGTAAATAATTCATCTTAAACAAAATAAATGAAACTTTATATTTGAGAAATAAATTTTTATATTTATTTGAACTTGATGGCCAGTTCAGACAATTGAAGCTGGGCAATTCAAGTTAACAAACTCAGCAAAATAAGGGGAAATGAATTACAGACTACATAAAATAAACTGGGTAAATTAAATTTCTGAATAGAACAGAAATACAAATTGCTTCTGATGTTAGTATAGGGCTATCTTTTTTCTTAACAATTTTATAAGCATTTTTTGCATTTGTATAAATTCATTCTTTTTCCTACAAAATAACATGTGTTCAAAACATTTACTTTCTTTTTTTTATGTAAAAGAAACATTCCAGTTTTCGTTTAGATATTACTTCCCTGGAGATGTTTTCTTGAAACATTTTATCATTGTATAAAGTTTTCATTTTCTGTTTTTGTACTTTGCAATATTTTTAACGAGAATTATTCTTCAGTGTGTATTGACTTGAATTCTTGAAGCCTTTTTAATATCTCTCTTTTAAGTTAATCAATGATAAGGTATTGAAGTTCATTTAAATTTTATGCTTTCTTTATTTTTACTAGAACTAGTGTAAAGAAAAGAGATAAGATTTAGGCTGGGTGGTTGAAGGGGGATACTGGTTATGTAATATCTTCATGTTCATAACAAACTTACCGGTAATGCATTTGTGGGGTAAAATGTGAAGTTATTTGTTAAGTCAATTATTGTAATGTATTAGTATGTGATAATGTGATGTTATATCTTGTTCTTAAACTCACCATGACATTTGATATTGCTTTAATAGTTATATATTGTTCATTAATATTTTATTAAATGCTATTTTTTCACATATTTGATATTTAGATTGATTAATTTTAATTGATACAGAATAAATGTATTCATTAATTGGTTGTTTAGTTGATAGAGTTTTTGTGACTGAGCAATCAAAGTTTTATTGATTGGTTGGTTGGTGAGGTTGGTTGATTGATTGATTGATTGATTGATTGATATTTACATGTCATTTTATGTCAGTTTTTCTGTGTGTGTCCAGAAAGGTAACCCATACTTTCAAACAGATATTTTCCCTCGACATGTTGGAGGTAGAAAAGTTTGTGTAGTAGATAATTATTAATCAACTGTTTCCAGAATGATTTTAGATATTTTGTGAATATGAATAAAATTGTTATGTTTTACTTTTTTTTATATTTCCTTTAAGTTTTATTATTCAATCTTTTTCATATTTTGGCTATTTTCTAGTTTTGTTAAAAGAAAGATATTTTTTGGTCCCATTACATTTTAGAACATTTTTGTTAATTTAGTTTTATAATATAAAAGTAAAAAAAGGACTTATCCTTTAAGTTTATTTTAAATGACATAATTCATTGCTGATTCAAATTTTGTACTTTATCATATATTAAGAAAATGTATATATATTGAGAAAAATCTTAATTAGCCTAATTAATTCTGAAAGTAGTCAAAAATTGTTATAAGAAATTAATTGTGTTATATTTTAAAAAATACATTGTTATTTGAAAAAGATTTGAAACAGAAACTGACATTATTATCACTATACATGTAGTAGTAATAAAGAATTATATGAAATGACAAGAACTCTCTATATATACCTCATTCTGAGACATGACCTTCACCTTGTTCTTTATGAACAGATTTAGAACATAACTTGTTAATTAAAATTTCATAATACAGCCCAAGTATGTTTGTTTAATGAACATAACTTTGTTAAATAAAATTTCATAATACGGTCCTGGTGAATGATATTAGAGTATGATATTATTTAAGATAATCGGAAAAAAATAGGGAAATTCACCTTTATTACATTAAGGAATTGGTTTTGGCTCTCCTTGCTAGGGAAGCATTTGTTTCTACCTAACAAAATGTTATGTTGAATATTGTAGATTGTTATAAAAAATTGCAAAATTTGTAGCTTGTTGATCTTTTTATTAACTACACATGTACATGGTTGTGATTTACATACATTTGACATGTATGAAGAGGATGAATTTCAAATGTTATTTTTTTTTAAATATTAAAAAATGTTATATTTTATTATAAGTGTATGTATTATTGCTGTAATTGTTATTCACCAATTTTATGTATCTGTTAATTTATAAAATTCCTATTACTGTAACAGTTACTGTACTCCATTCATCTGATGTTCTAATATTTGATAATGTATGCTTTAAATGTTACAATTTTTAAGTTAACATCGGTTAATTTTAGCATTGCAAGTAATTATATTTTTGGGGTGTCGGTGGCCCGAGTGCGTTGACATCAAATCACTTGCCCCTCATTGCTGTTGGTTCGAATCCCAACAGGGTCTTTGGATTCTTTCATGTGAGGAAACTATCCAGCTATCTTACGGAACGTCAGTAGTTCCACCCAGGTACCCATTCGTGCGTGAAACAATGCACTGAAGGGCACCTGAGCTCTTCTTCCAGCAGTAAAGCTGGAACATCGCCATATGACCTTTGCTGTGCTGGTGTGACATAAAACCCAATCAAACAAACAAACAAAAAAAAAGATTATTTTTGTTGTGTACATGAACGAAACGTAGTACATGAGATAAATAGAGGGACAAATATAAGGCTGAGACTGTTGTTATTATATTGACGTTTTTATTGAACGGATGTGGTCAACAGGGTGTTGTTGTGTCAATCTAAAGCTCAATATAATCACCTATTTGATAGTATATAGAATAAATGAACGTATGTCATTTATTTCCATAATTTTCTTTGTTGCCTGCTATTTTAAAGGTACTTTAAGCAAATGATATCATTTCTTAGAACCATTGTGTTTTTGGTTTCCTGCTACATTTCCTAAAGAGATACTCATTGGCTATTTTTTTGATTGCGTTTTTGCCCTTTTAACAGAAAGAAAAACGTAGTCATTTCCGATACTTTATTTGCCTTTAACGTTATAACTTTTTTTATATTTGTGAAATATACCTTCCCTGCCTTAAATTTATATTAGTCCATCGTACGGATATTTTTTACCTAAACACTAAAATGAAGCAGTAATGAAATTTAATATATTTTGATCACCAATCACTTAAGTTTTTACTTTGAGCTCCCTCTTTACTTGTTATATAGGCAAGTGTTTATTCGCATTCATGGGGTTGAATAAAGTTAAGGTATTGCACTGAGCCATCGAAGTAATCATAAATGGGCTATGTTTATTTATATTTTAACACTTCCTGGTATTGAGACAGTTTGTCCAATAATATAAGTTTGTAACATTTAGCAAAGGAGCGCTGTCAGCGAAAATGATAAGCCTATGCCAGTAACATTGAGCTAGTTCACCAACTGAGTAATTCAGTTATTATAGTTCATATGTCTAATAAGGTTTTACCTGTTGCTCAAAGACTTCATGTTATTTATTAGAATTAATTTAGCAACTTCGTTTATTACTGGTAAATTATTCATTTTATGTCAATGTCAAACAGGAATCTATGCCAGTATTTCATAGTTTGTAAATTTGTAAATAATTAAACCAAAATAAAGTATAACAAATATGTTTTTACATGAAACATTTAACACACCAGTTCAACAATGTGGTCAATATGAAGATGATGATCATTATTACAATGTAATATGTGAGATATTGTATGTTGACAGTTGTGAATATGTTTCTTGTTGTTAAATGCAATAAAAATAATAAAATTAACGGTGAAGTTTGTTATTATTTTACCTTCAGCATATAATGTAGTGGTGGACTTTTATGTCGCAGCCATCAGTTGGTTCACATGTCCGTCCCCACAGTGCCCGCTACTAGCATCCCTTAATCCCTTATTTCATCATACTTTGTTTAAATTCCTGTATGAACAAGGCGATGTGCGAATCCACAGCACCCTTTTCCCCGGCTCATGGTCAAGGTCACACTCGAAGGTAAAATTACAAAGAGCTTGGTCACAATTATGTGTCCGCTCTGTAAATCCTATACAAATCCATGGAAGGACTTTCTTCCAACTTTGTACAAACCTTTAGAAATAATGATAAAATGACCAGCATGAAATCCCATGTTGGAAAGGTTGTGGGGGTATTCCAATCATAGTGGATTTGACTGTCGCGAGTTTAAGCCCTCGTCCTCTCCAAAGCTACCATTTGGCATAACATTTTCCTTTTTTTTGTGAAATGCATTACTCTTCAATTAAATCACAGAAAAAATAATACATGTATTTTTGTAATATATTACAGGCTGATCCCATACCATCATCGTTGAGATACACCCGCGCGCTCGTCTTATAACCTCGTGACTCGCTTATGGTCAGCAGGTGTTCAGGATATTAACAAACTTCACCAGCTGCCAAAAATTGACCGCTATCATAGAACACTAATGTGGTAGTTGGAGGATTAAGCAAGAAGACAAGATGCAGTTCAAGGAAGAACTCTCTCATTGAACAGTCAGCCATTTTATACAACCTCAGATATGTTATAAGATAAGCGCGCGGGTGTATCTCAACGAGGATGGTATGGGATCAGCCTGTAATATATTGACTCACATTCATTCTCTAAAACAAATTCACGACAGAGATAAAGACAGAAACATGAATGTATTGAAATCATTCTTTTTTTCTGGAACGAAAGGAAAAAAAAATATGATTTTGATAACTCGCAAACAATATTGTTCATTAATATTTTATTAAATGCTATTATTCACATATTTGATATTTAGATTGATTAATTTTGATTGATACAGAATAAATGTATTCATTAATTGGTTGTTTAGTTGATAGAGTTTTAGTGACTGAGCAATCAAAGTTTTATTGATTGATTGATTGATATTTATATGTCATTTTATGTCAGTTTTTCTCTGTGTGTCCAGAAAGGTAACCCATACTTTCAAATAGATATTTTGTGAATATGAATAAGATTGTTATGTTTTACTTTTTAGCTCACCTGAGCATATGCTCAGGGTAAGCTATTAGGATCACTCTTCGTCCGTCGTCTGTCGTACGTCGTCCGTTCACACTTTTCAAACGACATCTCCTCTGAAACAATAAGGCAAATCATAATGAAACTTCACAGGGATGTTCCTTGTGTGAAGCCTTAACAAAGTTGTTCAAAGAATTCCATTCCATGCAGAACTCTGGTTACCATGGCAACCAAAAGAAAAAACTTCAAACATCTTCTTCTAAAAAACCCAAAGAGCTAGAGCTTAGATATTTGGCATGAAACATCTTCTAGTTAGTGTCTACCAAGTTTGTTCAAATAAAAGCCCTGGGGTCAAAATTGGTCCCGCCCCAGGGGGTCATTGATTTTCCCTATATGCATAAAGTAAAAACTTTAAAAAATCTTCTTTTAAAGCTAGAGCTAAGATATTTAGCATGAAACATGTTCTAATGGATGTCTACCAAGTTTGTTCAAGTAAGAGCCCTTTGGTCAAAATTGGCCCCGCCCCGGGGGTCATTAATTTTCCTTATATGTGTATAGCAAAAACTTAAAAAATCTTCTTTGAAAAAAACCAAATAGCTAGAGTTTAGATACTAAGCATGAAACATCTAGTGAGTGTCTACCAAGTTTGTTCAAATAAAAGCCCTGGGGTCAAAATAGGCCCCGCCCCGGGGGTCATTCCTTTTCCTTATATGTGTATAGCAAAAACTTAAAAGTCTTCTTTGAAAAAACCCGAATAGCTAGAGTTTAGATATTAAGCATGAAACATTTTCTAGTAAGTGTCTACAAAGATTAATCAAATAAAAGCCCTTGGGTCAAAACTGGCCCTGCCCCAGGTGTGTCATTGTTTTAACTATATGTGTAAAGAAAAAAACTTGACCAGCTAGACCTTAGATGTTAAGCATGAAATATCTTCTAATGGGTGTCTACCAAGTTTGTTCAAATAAAAGCCCTGGGGTTTAAACTGGCCCCGCTCCGGGGGCCTATATACAGGTGAGCGACTTCAGGGCCATCATAGCCCTCTTGTTTATATTTCCTGTAAGTTTTATTATTGAATCTTTTTCATCTTTTACCCATTTTCCAGTTTCGTCAAAAACGATGTATTTTTGGTCCCATTACATTTTATAACATTTTTGTAAATTTAGTTTTATAATATAAAAGTAAAAAAGGACTTATCCTTTAAGTTTATTTTAAATGAAGGACATAATTAATTGCATGTTCGAATTTTGTTCTTTATAATGTATATATATTTAGAAAATGTATATATATTGAGAAAATTCTTAATTAGCCTAATTAATTCTGAAAGTAGTTAAAAATTGTTATAAGAAATTAATCGCGTTATATTTAAAAACAAAACAAAAAAAACATTGTTATTTGAAAAAGATTTGAAACAGAAACTGGCATTATTATCACTATACATGTAGTAGTAATAAAGAATTATGTGAAATGACAAGAACTCTCTCTATATACCTCATTCTGAGACATGACCTTCACCTTGTTCTTTATAAACAGATCTAGAACGAAAGTATGTGTGTTTAAGCATAACTTGTTAAATGAAAATTTCATAATACGGCCCGGGTGAATGATATTAGGCTATGATATATTATTTAAGATAATTGGAAAAAAATAGAGAAATTCACCTTTATTACATTATGGAATTGATATTGGCTCTCATTGCTAGGGAAACAAAATGATATGTTGAATATTGTAGATTGTTATAAAATATTGCAAAATTTGTAGCTTGTTGATCTTTTTATTAACTACACATGTACATGGTTGTGATTTACATACATTTGACATGTATGAAGAGGATGAATTTCAAATGTTATTTTTTAATATTAAAAAATGTAATATTTTATTATAAGTGTATGTATTATTTTTATAATTGTTATATACTGTTTGTAATTGGATTTGTTAATTTATAAAATTCAAATACAGTTTACTGTACTCCATTCATCTGATGTACTAATATTTGATAATGTATGCTTTAAATGTTACAATTTTTAAGTTAACATTGGTTAATTTTACCATTGCAAGTAATTATATTTTTGGTGTGTCGCTGGCCCGAGTGCGTTGACATCAAATCACTAACCCCTCACCACTGTGGGTTCAAATCCAGACAGGAACTTTGGAGTCTTTTATGTGAGGAAGCTATCTAGTTAGATTACGGAATGTCAGTGGTTCTACTCAGGTGCGATCGAACCTGAAACTATGCACGGATTGGCACCTGAGCTCTTCTTCCAACAGTAAAGCTGGAACATCGCCATATGACCTTTGCTGTGTTGGTGTGACATAAAACCCAACAAACAAAAAAAAAAAAATTACTTTTATAGTGTACATGAATTTAAGGCTGAGACTGTTGTTATTATATTGACGTTTTTATTGACCGGATGTGGTCAACAGGGTGTTGTTGTGTCAACCTTAAGCTCAATATAATCACCTATTTGATGGTTTATAGTATAAATGAACGTATGTCATTCATATTCTTTGTTGCCAGATATTTTAAAGGTCCTTTAAGCTAATGATATCATTTCTTAGAACCATTGGGTTTTTGGTTTCCTGCTACACTTCCCAAAGAGATACTCATTGGCTATTTTATTGATTGCGTTTTTGCCCTTTTAACAGAAAGAAAAACGTAGTCATTTCCGAGACTTAATTTGCCTTAAACGTTATAACTTTTTTTTATATTTGTGAAATATACCTTCCCTGACTTGAATTTATATTAGTTCATTGTAGAGATATTTTTGTACTGTAATGAAATTTAATATATTTTGATCACCAATCACTTAAGTTTTTACTTTGACCTCCCTCTTTACTTGTTATATAGGCAAGTGTTTATTCGCATTCATGGGGTTAGATAAAGTTAAGACTTGTATCCACTACTGAGCTCTCAAAGTAATCACATTGGGCTATGTTTATTTATATTTTAACAATTCCTGGTATTAAGACAGTTTGTCCAAGAATATAAGTATGTAACATTTAGCAAGGGAGCGCTATCAGCGAAAATGATAAGCCTATGTCAGAAATATTGAGTTAGTTCCCAAACTGATTTGTTCAGTTATTATAGTTCATATGTCTAAGGTTTTACCTGTTGCTCAAAGACTCCGTGTTATTTATTAGAATTAATTTAGCAACTTCGTTTATTACTGGTAAATTATTCATTTTATGTCAATGTCAAACAGGAATCTATGCCAGTATTTCATAGTTTGTAAATTTGTAAATAATTAAACCAAAATAAAGTATAACAAATATGTTTTTACATGAAACATTTAACACACCAGTTCAACAATGTGGTCAATATGAAGATGATGATCATTATTACAATGTAATATGTGAGATATTGTATGTTGACAGTTGTGAATATGTTTCTTGTTGTTAAATGCAATAAAAATTATAAAATTAACGGTGAAGTTTGTTATTATTGGTACAATTATACCTTCAGCATATAATGTAGTGATGGAGTTTCCTGGCGCAACCATCAGTTGGTCCGTATGTCCGTCCCCACAGTGTCCGCTCGTCCCCACAGTGTCCGCCCGTCCCCACAGTGCCCGCTACTAGCATCCCTTAATTCCTTATTTCATCATACTTTGCTTAAATTCCTGTCTGAACAAGGTGATGTGCGAATCCACAGCACCCTTTTACCCGGCTCATGGTCAAGGTCACACTAAGGTAAAATTAAAAGTAAAAAAGAGATATGTCAGACAATTATGTGTCAGCTCTGTAAATCCTATACAAATCCATGGAAGGACTTTCTTCCAACTTTGTACAAACCTT